TTTTAGAGTATTCATGAACTATCGTCCGTCGTGCCGGTAAGAAGCATCAGAATGCAGATGCATTGTCTCGCCGGGCACAGACTTCACCACTGCTCGATACACGTGCTCCGTTGGCTGTCATTACGATTGGCGTTCCTGGGCACTCATGATGGGCGTCGGCCCAAGCTGTAGAGCCCTACATATCGCTTATCTATGATAGTATTCATCACTTCAACCGACCCCTTTCCCGCAACGTGCTGTGACGCTCGTGTCGTTCTCCCTCTCTGTACGTCGGTACCTCCCTCGGCCCTCCCCTGCAGTTGCCCACAGCGCTGCGTTCCCAAGCGTCTAATAAGCTGATATGTCGGTATCGCCTCTCCACCCGGACAGGTTACTCCAAGTTGTAACTCGTTCTGCTTGTACTAGCAACTATTATTATACGTCTTTCTTATTCCCGTCTCTGTCCATTATACCTCCTCGTCCACTCGACGTTTCTTCTTCCTTTATGTGCGGATGAGTATCGTGACTTACTAACGACCCTGTTCAGATCAGCGTTAGCCAGGATCTCTTTCCAGTGGTTTGCTAGTTGTGTGTGTGCAATAGTTGACGTCTCCGACCGCTACACTTTGATCTGATATAAACTTGCTTTAGTAACGGAGGAACCAATCGCGGGTGAGGTTGCGCAAGGCGATGTCTGATTAGAAAACTGGCAATTATGGTTTTCCCCTGCAGCGACCGAAGACGTTGAGGGTAGCACATACGGGGTGGCGTGGAGCACTAGATATAAATCCTGGCTAATCTGATCTGAGGAGAGTTTTGAAGCAGGTCATTGATCTTATCCAAGCTGACAGTATACAAATTCAAATGGGGCGGATACGTATACTGAGAGCAACGAGGTATGTACATGGTGAAATGTCGAACAATACAAAGTGTGGAGGAGGATTACAGCAGATGTGATGATCCGTCTGGATAAAGAGGTGATACCGACACACTAGCTAGACAGCCGGCGGGGAACACAGGTTTTCGGCATCTGCTGGGTGGGGCCGTGGAAAGTGCCGACGTAGAGCGGGAGATATGGTACCGCAAGGACGCTAACGGAGGGAGAGGGGTCAGTGGGGACGTGAGAACGGAACACCGGTTACTTTGCCGACACGTGATCGCACCATCTTCATTCTGGATCAGCGCTTCAGAAGTGTCACAACATTCAAACAAACCCGCTCAGTTCAAGGAAAGTTACATCCCGGAGCTTGCGCCGTTGGCTTCTCCGAATTGCCTACTCGTGCGTTATTTTATCCACTTGAACACCATAGTGTCTCGTTGTCCCCCACTTTCCGTCCCCACATAAACCCTTCGCGCATAGAGACCTGCTAATTCGGTACGGTGGCTTGTCCGCTTGCTGGCCACGTCACTTGTTCTGCCACATAATATCTTGTAAATTCTGGTTCTGAAACAGATTCACAGTATACACTGACAATTCAGGTTTTTCCCCCATTATTTCTGTCTACACGTTTTCCTGTTTCCTAGCTCTTGTGGCTCATCAATTCCCGCTTTTTAAAATACTTATGACTATCATTTGTGTGGTTAGTAACCAAATAATTCAGTATATATGATGGATATAGGCAGGGCCTGGGAAAACCCTATTTACAGATAGACGTATGAAAAAAAAACATGTAGATATTTACATAGCAGTTATGCCAGTCATTGATATCACGTAAATGATTGACCATCAAGCATGAATTTATCTAGTCTTCCTATGAAGGTCTCAACGTTTCCCTCTAAGACAACGGAGTTCGGCAATTTGTTCCATCCCTCAACCAGCCGGTGGGAGAAGAATTTGACCCGCAATTCGAGTTTGGCATAGTTTGGCTTCAATTTGTATCGGTGCCCTCGAAGATTTGTCGTCCGCGCCAGTTCGAAGAAATCGTCAAACTCTAGAGCACAGTCTAGCCCTCAGACGATCCTGATGGCCGTGACCATATTCCTTCTGTATTGTCTATAAGATGAGGGAAATATTTTTTAGCTTTTCCAGGCGCCTCTTATAAGGTAATCTACTTAATCCGCCAACTAGCTTGGTCGCTGTTCGTTGTACGCTCTCCAGTAGGGTGTAATCTTGTTTCGTCCAGGGACAGCATGCCTGAACACCATATTCCAACATTGGTCGAAAGAGTGCTCCAAATACTCGGCCGAAAAGTTCTCTGTCGAAATTGAGCAGGGATCTTCTAATCGCGCATAGGATACTCATAGCTTTCTTTGATACCTTGGTGCAGTGAGACGATGGTTTGCGAGTTGACGTCATCCACACACTGAGGTCTGTTAACTAGTTGACTTATTGGAGTTGGTGGCCTCCTATAAAGTACCGAAATTCAAATCTCAACGGCCTCCTGTTGCTCTAACGTAATCGAATGAGTTGGCATTTGTTAGGGTTGAGGTTAAAACACCACTCATTACACCATTGTTAAAAGCGATTTAGATTGTCTTGTAACTGTACAGCAGTCGATGTCGACAAGATATTGCGTAAAAACCGATATGTCGACATACATATACCGTCCGGATATTGACATTGGCCACTTCGTCGAAATACCCTGGATACTGACATGTCGAGATGCAGCGACATAGTCGAAAAAGGTTGGAGCGCTATGCATACCAAATAAATGTTTGACGTGTACCTCCTTCCTTGTTATATGAGACGCATGCATTACCTTCAATACCGGTTCCCATAGGTATGTACCTTTGTAACGCCTCTGAACTGAACAAAGTTGTTTAAATGTCCTAAAATATTTTTAATGCGGACCTGGGATGGCGATGGCGTAGCTACGTGCTGGTGAAGACGGCCGATGTGTGACGTCGCTGATCCGATTGAGAGCGAACCCAAAGAAGAATTAAGGAAATTTATAAAAAATAATGGGACGTGTATTAAATTGAACCTACTACAGTCCTCGCTGATGGCCTTATGTACACTGGTAGGGCCGCAGGAGTTCTTGTTTAACAGCAAAGTCGGCAGACAACAGAAAGCCGAGGCTCGAGCGTCCTATTTCGTTCCTTGGTTAACTTTCTGGCGTATTAATAGGACCTCAGGTGTTCATGTAGTCCAAAGGTTCCAATCCAGCGTTATGATTGGGCGAGAGGCATTGTGAAAAGAAAACAGAAAACCTGAGCCATCATCTTTCCACTTACTTTGTATTTATAGCATACTTCCTATGTTAAGTAATTTTGTAAGAAACCCAAATTATTGCAATCAAGACACTACGTTTTAACTCACCAATATGCATAGTCAAAGCTGTTCCTGCAAACACCGACTCTACAAATAGTAGTAGCGATTGCGCGCGCCCCTGCAGGGCTAGTGGTGTAGGGTACAATTAAGTACATTGCTCCATCCTTCGAAAAGGACCTGCTGTCCTCAGCAACATCGGGCATCGCAATGGCATTGCTCCCTTCAGAGGGTAATTCCACAATCTTTTCGGCTTGCAGTTCATTACTGGGTTCTTCATGCCTCGCGTAGCCCCCTTCATCACTAACCTGCAGATATTGTTCGACAAACTGGCAATCGTTCCGATGAGATGGGCCGACCCGAAACACGGAGCAGTCGATACTCCCATTTGTAGTTGGTGCGCACTTTAGGCGATTGAAGTGTACTGTGAACTCATTTGTATATGGCCTACCTCGATTACGAATGAGACAAGTTGTATCCGGCAGGACTTTAGTAACGACGTACGGGCCAATCCGATTCGGGTTGAATTTGTGGGTACCCCGCTTCTGATGCTATACGCAAAGCTTTTCGCAGTCTTGATACATACGTGTCAACATTTTCTACCTGATGCACGACCGGGAAGTTGAAGATCCTCGGGAAGTTGTATTTCCCGGCTGCACGTTAGGAAGAATGGGGTATACTGCGTGGTCGCATTTACAGTGGACCGATACGCCAACATGCACGTCGCTAATGCTTCGTCACATGTGGGCGTTGCGTTCCTGTCGACAAAGGCTCTTGCCAGATTGATCAGTTAGCGGCTGGTCCTCTCCACCTGTCCTTTACTCTGCGGATGGAATGTCGCTGTTTTTGTTTGGCCAGTAGTATCGTCGGCGGAGGGCCCAGTCAGTATTGTGGATACCCGTGTGACTTAATTTTATATGCATTCTTGCCACAACGTCGTCAACCATCGAAAGTGAGAGGACAACTCGTTCAGGGTATTCGTCGCTGTCGCGGTAGAAGGGAATGTCATTCTCAATGAAGAACTTGTCCGGTATGTGTGCATACGACGACTCTGATAGCGATGTCTATCAAGTTCATGCTTACCAAGGGTCTGGCGTCACTTACCTTTCTGTTATAGATGGAAAAGATATGCTGATCATCCCTTTGAACTGCCGACCAGGACAGACAATGGCCACTGTGCAAGACGACGGCGGATATAGTGATGTCGGTACAGGATGGACATTGCCCGTGTGGCCGATAAGGTTTCCTTGAAAGGGCGTCTGCATTTCTCATGCAGACGACTTTGTAGGAATGTACGTTCGAAATCGGATTCCGCCAACTTCTCATGCCAGCGAGCTATTTGCCCTTCAGGATTTTTAAAGACCCATATTGGCTGTTGTCCCTGATGATGGATTCGAGCAGGAATCCGAAACATCAGGTTAATAAAGCTCTTGCTCCACCGATCGTATCTCCTTCTACAGTTCTTAAATCTTCTTGGGCAAGTCAAAGAGCCTTGATCGCTACGTACTAGGAACGGTCGGTACTGAAGATAGGATCGGCACTCCTCAACAAAATGCGAAATTGCGAGCATCTCTTTGCGGGGGACACAATAGCGCCGCTCGGCTTTGGTAAGTGTGCGACTAAGGTGCCGAATGACACGTTCGGTTACGTCACGTTTCTGCTAAGACAGAAGGGCACCTATGGCCGTGTCACTGGCGTCAGTATCTAAGATTGGTTTGCCTGCACCTTCGCTGATGTCGGGGAAAACCAAGACAGAACTAGTACACAAACTACCCTTTAGCAACTGAGAGCTAGCATCACATTCGGCTGTCCACTAGAACTTTTTCTCTTTCTGAGTCAGGCGGTGAAGAGGGGCGGCATTGTTGGCATAGTCTTTTATCAAGCGTCGACACCACAACGCCAAGCCTATAAACCTGCGAACCTCAGTCACATCCGAAGGGGTCGGCCATTCGCGGATCTGTCTGACTTTGTCGACATCAATTTCTACTCCATTGGCTGAAACTACAAGTCCTAAGAATTTAACGCGCGGTCTAGTGAAGACGCGATTTGAGGGTTTAAGAGTTAGACCGGCTTGCCTGAGACTGAGGAATTCGGGTCGCAGGTTGGCTAGATGGTTCTCGAAGTCCTTTCCAAGGACAATGATATCGTACATGTAAACCAGACAAGAGTTCGCAATCAGCTGAGAAAGTACCTGATTCAAAAGCCTGTAGAAGGTACTAGGGTAATTAGCTAGTCCAAACGGAATCGTCTCGAACTCGTAGAGACCAGACAGTACAGCAAACGCGGTATTCTCTCCATCAGTGGATTTAACCTCCACTTGCCATAGGCCCGAATATAGATGGAGGGTGGAAAAGACGGTATTGCCTGCAAGTGTGTCCAAGGTAGCATCGATCCGGTGCAAGGGAAACGAGTCCTATTTCGTCACAGCATTCCGTTTTCTATAATCAACACAAAGGCATCATCCTTCATCCGCACGAGCACTATCGGTGAAGACCACAGCGAATGAGACGGTTGAATAATTTTGCGACTGACCATACTATTGTTCCGGTATGCGGCGTCCATTCCGACAACATCTGGATACTCAGAGTACGTCGTCCGCGGAGCCGGCGTCGTAAAGCAGGCGGCCCGCAGAACCGGTTTCATAGAACACACGGCCCGCAAGTCATCATAAAGAAAATCGGGGTCGCAGCCACCTCTCATGGAGGACAGGGCATTTTTCATCCCATTTACAGTTGGATCATTCCAAAACAGCCGACGGCGCTTGTTGACTAGGTCTTTCCTTTTGTAGTTAGGACCATAGCAATGTATGACTACGTTTAGAGAAATTAATCTTACTTTTCAGGCATACCTTCAGCCGTCTCGCTGATAAGCGCATTTGCTGCATCAACAGCAGCAGATTTTTTTCGTCTTGTACCGCCAACCGCCGCAATATGGGGGTAGGCAAAGGCCATCTGCCTACTGCATACGTGATTGTGGCGCAAATTGAGCGTTTTTACGTGCAGTTCCACTTCAATCACTATAGCGGTAAAACGGGCTGTGCATCCAAAATTCAGAGAACTAAACCACTGATGTAAAACAGCCCTGCTTACGTTGATTTTGTCTTTGAGCTGCAACCTCGAAAGACTCCCGAATGACAGCATATGGAGTAGACATTACGATACTTCATCGCGTCAATCCGGGCATCGTTCGCCGGCCGTCTTTCACTCTTATTTCTACTGAAGCTGGTGTATGAGCCTACAAAATAACCGAATGTTTAATAAGGCTTACCTTCTCGTACTCTTTTACCGCGGATATTAAGTCATTGAAGCTCCCGAAGACTCCGCGCTGGAACACTTTCTTAAACAAAAAAAAAGGAATGCGGATTTGTTCTTGTGCTGTAAAGCACGATTAAAATGAATCAGTATCTGCTTGTCGGCGAGGACGGGCACAACGTGGGTAAGTCCGTCAGCCGGGAGCCTGGGTTCTTCTGCTTAGAATGCCGAGGCGCTGCGGGCAAGGGCTCATGTACGTGCTCCGCCTTGAACGATATTACGGCATGGTAGCCCGCCCTGAGATGCATAGTGTTAAAGGACGCGTCACAGCCCGCGGGCCTACGCAGTCAATAAGTTGCCAATGCTAATTTAAACGCACCTTCGAGTTGAAGCCAAGACGGAAACGTATTTGCGGCTGTAAAACACAAATTTCTCGTCGTTAGAGTTGCTGATTGTGAATCTGTGGGAATTAACTGGCTTAAAGTGGCAGCCAGTTTCCCATGATTGGTCCGCACAAACAGGGTCACCAGTTACCTCGCTAAACGGCGCAATCGCCTCCTCCATCTCACTAAACGAAGCGAATTAATGCCCATGTAGTAGTCCCCGGAAAACCTCCAAAACGACATCGCCTGCCGCCCTTGCTCCCATAACGTGCCCTGGTCGTGGCATGGTTAAATACAATTATCTAGAGAAACTGCCCATAGGTGGACAGACACCAACCAATCAACGGCAAGACACAAGGCTAATCACTTGACCGACTCCAACCAATCAGCTGAGAGACTCCAGCCAATCAAAAAAGGAACTGAGAACCAATAAGAACGTCGCAGAGGCAGGTGAAGAGGCACGCCGCCGGTAAGACGTGTGATAGGTGTTTTTTGAGCTGTTTTATTAAGAAAATATCGTTAAGTAGGTAAAATATTATAAGAAAATAATACCCGTCACGAACATGTCCAATATTTACGACCTGTCCTCGCGTATCGGTGTGGATGTCGAGCGTCCCGGTGACCGCCGTTCTGAAAGTTAGATATCTGTAAGATATGTATGTAGTTGGCTTACCATTTACTTAAGAAGGAGTCTGACTTTTTCGTGTCGTTTAACTACCGCATTCAGAGACCTTTTGGTGTGCTTTGTAAAGGCGGACTCCAAATCATATAGGTCTGCGCGGTCACCCTTGTGCCACCTATCATGCATGTCTGTGTGGAAGAGCTTTAGGAAGATATACAATAAGTCACCAGTGATTAGCTCGTTCAATTTTGATGCGCCTGAGTCTAATTTATTTTTACGCCCTCTGAAATTGACATTAATTGCGACGTCGTCGTCAAAAATCGCATAGTATATGCGTTTGACAAAGTCGTCAATGTTTCGCCATCCATGGCGGGCGAGATATGACTCCTAAGGGGAAGGAATAAGGAAAAGCGTTTGTCATACCAGGTGCCCGTAGAACTCAGAGCTTATTTACCCTCTGCTGAGTTCTGTGCAGCCACAACGTCTTTCGGCTTATTTCCTTCCCTTTTCTGAGGTAGATGTACCAGAATTCATCTGCTCAACGTCAAACGTCCAACAGTAAGGTAGTTCGACGGAAGAAAGTGTGAAATCGAAGAACTGATTATTGGTTTGTACAACAGGCTTATTTTAGCTCTCAGTAGTCAGGTACTGAGAACAATTCCGAATGCAATCAGAAATATAAACTGTGAAAGTGCACGTGTAGATTGCCTCCGTGATAGGGATTGAACTGTTGTGTTCTTGCAGAAAATCCAAAATGTACCCACCAGTGCAAACCAAATAAGGTGAAGCTGGAGACTGTCACCGCAGGAAGGGATCAAAGTTTTGTGCACCGGCACTACAAAGCACACCACTCTCGCCCTCTCATCCTTGACGAAACCCAATATAACCGCCTCGACCCACTTAAACAACAAGTCCTTCCTCGGTCCTGTCTGCCCGCTGCAAACCCCTTGACTGACCTTCGCCCCTTCCAGACCCTCGTTGATAGTCGAGTTGCCTTCCACACTACACTTTTGGCATGCGAACTGCTATACCAAAAACCAGTTAAGCACCTGCCTGTACGACCGTCGTTTCTGGTGACGTCCGCTGTGTGCTCCACAGGTGGGTGCGAGCATGGACGGCGACTTTCACGTGATTTCTTTTATGGTGGCGATTGAGTTACGCGGCATCTTCAACACCCCCCCCCCAACTGGACCCGTTGTCAAGGCAGTCAAGAAGACCCGGGGTGGGAGAGGATGCAGGTGACTGGCACGGCGAAAACCCGCCGCTAAACGTAGCACCACAACCCCTGGTCAATAAAGTACACTGATCAGAAGTTTGTACACCAAGGAAAAAAGGGGGAGGCCGGATGCCAATTGGTGTGGCGTGAGTTCGCGCCTGGCAATGCCACCACGTCCCCGATGTCGGTGTTTTTTACGGGTACGCATTCCTAATAACGTCTACCGCACGCCGACCTAGCCCCTGTGTTAATCCAGCGCAATCTACTTTGTGGGCCGTTTTAGGGGCAAATCTAAGCGCCTACGTATACTCTAAACGGTTTGTTGAGAAGCCGTGGCTTTTCATTAATGCATCGTTGGCGCTGCTGAGAAGAAGCATCTCACTGCGAACTAAAATCGGCCACAGTTCTGCCCTCACCTTACAACATAAGGGTAAACTACCTATAGGCAGTTCACAACCACCTCTTCGTTCTTTAGAACGAGGTGTTCACCATGTTCTAGCTGGCGGAGTTGCTTTTGCAATCGAACGTAAGCGTAGTTCCCACTAACCATAGTCGTTTATTTTTAAGACCTACGATGCCCTCAAAAGCGTCTGTAAATCTGCAGGCAGTAACGGCACATCTGAACAGAATATGTCTAGAAGACTACGGCGATGACGGGCGTTATATTGGACTCCAAAGCCCATTTACGCAACCTAATCCGTACACGTACGTGCGTCCGCAATTCATCATTAAAAATGACTTTGGCGCTGGTAACGCTTTCTCTGCAGGAGACAACATTTGCGAACGATGTTCATGCATCTGCAATCACTGGAATCAAAGTCCACTGAGCGGTCAGATGACGATCCCGTTTCAGAATCGTCCGCTCGACGACGTTTGTCACCGGGAACGATGAGGTCTTTCTCCTCTGTTTTACCAGACGTTTCTTCGATATTTTTTTTCACAGTCGTCTCAATGTACGTTTACATTCATACCTACACATTTTAGGCATAAGTATAGAAGGTTGAGTAGAATGTAAGGGATATAGAGCAGAACATAAGAAAGCACTAGAGAGCACAGGCAACACGTTGCACGCAGCGTTGGCGCTAGCGCAGTAGGTGCGCGACAGAGGAGGGCAACCAATGTTTGCGCGGATGGTGCAGTCCAGTTATCCAATCACATATCTCAACACTCTTCTTGCGAGAAATCATGATAAAAATACATCCAGTCGTTATAGAATGCTACTACGGTTGTATTTGATGAATTGAAAATTCTTTTAGCAAATGTGCACATATTATTCTTTGTTGACAGTACGACCATCATTATTCCTTCTTACATGCAAAACGACGCTACAGACGCTTCACAGCCATACTGTTAGGGAGCCCGGAGCACTAGACTATTCATGCCGAAACTGGGTGACAGGAATTCTCTCCATAAACTTAACGAACGTCTACAGTAGATAGCAACTCAAAATACGCGGTACACACTTTATTGGTCGTCATCGAAAAATTTGTGTGACTTACCAACCTGATTGTGTGGGTTTACAGTCTATTTTTCGTATTAAATTTTCATAGCACGTCGATATCGACCGGAGGTCGACACGCCTGTAGGCTGCGGTCTATATACGAGATGATTAATTAACTACATCACTGACTAGACTTCTACATGTTGTTAACTTGTAACTGTCTACTGCTATTCGCCTTAGTGTCTTTTAATCTGTAGCCGACATCCTACAAAGTTCATTCAGCAAGCTAATACGGAGATGGGACTCAATGGGTCTTTCGATAAGTTCGTACAAAAATATTACAGAAAAGGGGTTTACATGCAAGAAAGTAATCACACACTCCTCATATATCATGGACCGCTGTGCGGCTGCTGGTTGGGCTCTAGAGAGAGCCCGTAAGGCACACCGGGACGAGCGAGTTCCGTAAAAGCGATCGGTGAGCGCCTTTCTACCATCCTCATATCCCGTTTTTTGATGAATGATTGGTCGTTGCCCGTCAGATAATTGTTTGCATATGACGGAGGGGGCGATATTGTATGTGTCAGGCCGTTATTTTAAAGGTTCCTCTTGAATAAGGAAAGTAGCAAGTAACTAACCGCCACACTCCACCTCGTTAAAATACGTCCAATGTTACCTTGAATGACTCTACTTGGTACGGCTATGATCATGCCTAATCTATCCGGGTTACTTTGAATTGCTGAACGCAAGCTCCAGTTCGGAGAAGTCCCACCGATCCGGTTTATATCATTTAATAGAAAACTCTATTTAGGATTACATGATGAATGCCCTTAGTAACGTACCCATAACAGAGTCGTATAGCCTGAAACCGCATAGCTTGCCCTTCATCATCTTCTTCTTGCCCTTATAGTTTATTTAGGCGGTTATTTTGTTAGAGAAGGTATGAAATATATGCTCAACAAAATTATCTGTGTTCTGCCCTTCGAGGTAGAGCAGGTAGGACTCTTAGTTCGATGTTTATGTTAAATCTCGTAACCTACTAGCTGGTGAGGGAATTTCAAGCCCCGTAACCTTACGTTCGCCTGCAAAAAGCCGGAATAGTGATATATGGGCCCCGTCATTGGGTTAATGGGCGTTTCATCATCTTACTTCACAGCGAGTGCCGTGAACTCCACCTTCATCAATCTCATGGCGTGTTGCGCTTGCAGGTTTTCGTAGTTTTGCACCAACCGCATCAATTTGCATGAGACGGAGCC